CTTAGGTGGGTTCCTCAGAGCAGAACTGCTAGGGCATATTTGATACGTGTTTGTAGCCCCTGATGGATTGATTGCTGTTTTTAACTGCTTTATTGAAGGATGCTTGCCCTACAGTTCACTGCACCCATTTAAGGCGCGCAGTTTGACAAGTTCTGACACGTGTGCACCCACGAACCTCTCCGCCCCAAAGGTTCTTCCTGCCTTCTCCCGCAGCCCCACCCCGCCCCCTCCAGGCAACTCTGGTCTGGTTTGGTCACCACAGAGTATGCCCTGCACATTTTGGACTTTCACAGCACGTGTTTTCGGCTTGGCTTTTTGGTCTTCTTTCATGCGGCACAATTATTTTGAGACGTATCCACATTGTAGCACCCATGGGTGGTGGCGCATTCCTTTTTGTTGCTGAGCGGCATTCCACTGGGTGCCCACACCGCAACCCTGATGCGTGTTGGCTCCTAGCTCCTGGCTACCACAGAGAAGCTTCTCACAACACGGGAGTACAAGTGTCTATATGGACATAGACTTTCATTTCTCCCAGGGGAACATCAAGGAAGGGAATGGCAATCACACTAGATTCTATTTAAGTTTTTAAGAAACTGTCAAACTATTTTCTAGAGTGAGGTACCATTTCATATACCCAGCAGCACCATAGGACAGTCCTGGTTCCTCTCATTTTTGCCAACATTTGACACATTGGCCTTTTTAGTTTTAGCCATTGTAATAGGCATGTCGTGGTATTTAAATATGGTTTTAGTTTGCATTTCCTTTATGTCTAATGATATTGAATATTTTTTCATGTGCTTACTGGCCATCTGTAGCTCTTCATTGGTGAAATATCTTAAAATCTCTTGCCATGGATGGCTCAGTCGGTTAAGCGTCTGCCTTCGGCTCAGGTCATGATCCCGGGGTCCTGGGATGGAGCCCCGCATCGGGCTCCCTGCTCCGCGGGAAGCCTGCTTCTCCCTCTCCCACTCCCCCTGCTTGTGTTCCCTCTCTCTGTGTGTCTCTGTAAAATAAATAAATAAAATCTTTAGAAAAAAAAATATTTATTTTGAGAGACAGAGCTCATGCGCACTCGCAAGCAGGGGGAAGGGAAGAGGCAGAGGGGAGAGAGAATCCCAAGCAGACTCCTTGTTGAGTGCAGAGACAGACGTGGGGCTGGATCTCACGACCCTGAGATCATGACCTGAGTCAAAACCAAGTCAGTCGCTCACCCAAGCCACCCACGTGCCCCACCCTTGTCCATTTTTTTTTAAATCAGGTTTTCTATTGAATATGAGTTGTTCCCATATTCTAGATACAAGTGCTTCATCATCTATGATATGCAAATATTGTCTCTCATCATGGAGCTTGTTTTTCACTTTTTTTAAAGATTTCATTTTTAAGTAATCTCTACACCCAGCATGGGGCTCAAGATCACAACCCGGAGATCAAGGGTTGCACCCTCCACCAACTGAGCCAACTGAAAACAGGTACTCCTGTTTTCACTCTTTAACAAGGTTTCTTGAAGAACAAAAGTTTTTAGTTTAGAAGGAACTTATCAGTGTCTTCTTTTATTATGCTTTTGGTATTATATCTAAGAAATATTCGCTTTAAACCGAAGTTTCACTTCCTAAATCTTAAGCTCAAAAAGTTATTTTCATAAAGATGATTCCTCTATTTGCTGTACCTACACCATAGTTCAAAGGCGAGGTTTACTTCCTTTGAAAATCTCCTTTCTGTGATCTAACTGAAAATATGAGATCCCTCTGGGGTGAGTTCGTTGAAAATAAAACCCCTACCTTTTAATAACCAGAGACAGCCCCCTATGTGCCAGTATGGGATGATCTTTAAAATACATTAATAATCATAAACAAGAAACACAACGCTAGGGGCGCCTGGGTGGCTCAGTCGTTAAGCGTCTGCCTTCGGCTCAGGTCATGATCTCAGGGTCCTGGGATCGAGCCCTGCATCGGGCTCCCTGCTCGGCGGGAAGCCTGCTTCTCCCTCTCATACTCCCCCTGCTTGTGTTCCCTCTCCGCTGTCAAGTAAGTAAATAAAATATTTAAAAAAAAAAAAAGAAAAAGCATAACACTGTATAGGAAGGATGAACCAGACGTATAAGGAGGAAAGAGGTAGCAGCCGCTGATTTGCTCTTACGCGGATACACTTTTTCTCGAAGGGTACAGGAGAAACTACGGTGGTGGCCTCTGGGGAGAGGACCTGCACACTGGTGGTGTTTTCAGCTCCTAGGTCAGCACACCTGTTTCCTCTGTGGAGAACAGGGCCCTGTTCCAGGCAAGGATATTCAGGATGTTTATCAAGAAGCTGTTTTGTTGAGAAATGAAAATGTGCGAATGTCCGTAGCAGCTGCGTTCCAGCCCCAAACGTCCATCAACAGTTAGGAATGGATAAGCAAGCTGTCCACTCGACAGAACAGCGCGCCCCAACGAGAGCAGACCCTGATGCGCACTGAGGGCATGGCTCTCCCGGCCATCCGCTGCCTTAAGGAGGCCAGGGTTTCAGTGGGAGTGCAGGGTTCTAGAACAGGCAAAGCAGATCCACGAGGGCTGTTCCACTCTCTCCTCTACTTGTGTATGTCTGAATTTTGTGTGCTTTTTCATAATTGAAAGTGTTGAAACTTTAGAACAATCTCGGGATGAGCCTGGAGGCAGAAGCTAAGACTAAGTGCTCTCGGGGGCTGCCTCTCCTCCAAGCCAGAGCAGGAAGCGGGGTGTCCCCTTACACAGACCCGCCTGTCTACTGCCAGTTGTCTTACAACCAGCTTGGAAAATTAAGTTTTCTCTAAAGATAAATCTTTCTTCCCGACTTTTCCCCATTTTCCAGGACTCTCCAAATACCCAGTGTCATCTAGACATCCAGTCATTGCCTGTGTGATAGAAGACATAAGAGAAACGATTACTGAAGGTTACTTGGGGTGGTGGGCTATGGATAGCTTGTTTTCCTGGCTTTGAGTCATTTAGAATTTTTTTTTTTAAAGATTTTATTTATTTATTTGAGAGAGAGAGAATGAGAGAGAGAGAGCACATGAGAGGGGGGAGGGTCAGAGGGAGAAGCAGACTCCCCGCCGAGCAGGGAGCCCGATGCGGGACTCGATCCCGGGACTCCAGGATCATGACCTGAGCCGAAGGCAGTCGCTTAACCGACTGAGCCACCCAGGCACCTGAGTCATTTAGAATTTTAAAATCATTTTCAGAGGCCATGAGCAGCGCTGTTGTGGATGACAACTGGGATCTCAGAGGGAGGCCGCCAAGTCCCCAGCCTGCCCAGCACCAGCCTCCACTCAGACGTGCCTTTGACCTAGGCTTGTCCTTGGCCTTGTCCCCAGGGTCCTGAGCCTCTCCTGTGACTCTTCTATAAGCAAAGGATGATTTCAGGAGCTGGCTTGGACACTGAGGCCTGGACCCTGTGCCAAGGACAAGGGCACTTGCTGATTTGTTCTTAAGCATCTGGGCAGGGTTTTCTGGTCTCAGAAAGTGTAATCTGAAGAGACACGAGGGTGCCTGTTGTTGTGGAACAAGTGTAACCGTAGACAGAAGGATCTTGTAGAAGTCTAGGTGTTGTCTTCCTCTAGGACTGTTAGTTTCTTTGTATTTCTGTTCTTCAGAATGTGAGTTTACAGTCTTGGCTAAGACTGAGAGCAGTGAGAGGTGGTGGCGTTGGCACATGTGAAGCAGGGGACCAACTTTTAAATGGCCTTTTAAATTAACGAAGGTGAACTAATGGGGTTTGGTGTGGGGGACACTGGCTCTTTTTCAGAGTCTCCGAACGACAGGCATTTCGATTACGATTTTAAGCCTCGTGATCAACTGGGGCTCTCTGTCCCTGCAGGAGGTACTCTGGTTTCAATCTTGGGGCTTACAGGTAAACAACCTGCTGGAAGTTACCCTCCCGGGAAGCCTGTTCTTCCCTGAGAAGGGGCCTTGGTCTTCACGCCGGGACGACAGCTTTAACAACTAACCCCTCTCATCAAAGCGCTTGAGCCTGTACTTCTTCCGCTTATTCACGAAGTAAAACTGATGTTTCAGAAACTACTGTGAATATTTCACGTACCACTTGAAGCCCTTGACGACAGGTAGCGCCAAACCCACGATTAGACACTGCTAACGTGGCGGTGTGGGACTCCTCCAGGATAAAACCCTATCTTCCTACAACCGGGCAGCGTGGGATGCCTCGGGCCGGAGCCCTAGAGCCTAGATGGTGGCGCAGCCAGCAGCCAGTCCACACCCAAGCACGCCGGGCTGCGTGCAGCGCGGGGCACCCCAGGCTCCCTGCGCACGCAGTGCCTGGCGGCCCACCCGCGCCCCCAGGCCCCCCCAGCCCCCCCCAGGCCCAGCGCCCGCGCCCCCAGCGCTCGCACCGCCAGCACCAGCACCCCGGGCCCACCCGCGCCCCCAGGCCCCCCCAGCCCCCCCCAGGCCCAGCGCCCGCGCCCCCAGCGCTCGCACCGCCAGCACCAGCACCCCGGGCCCACCCGCGCCCCCAGGCCCAGCGCCCGCGCCCCCAGGCCCCCCCAGCACCCCCAGGCCCAGCGCCCGCGCCCCCAGCGCTCGCACCGCCAGCACCAGCACCCCAGGCCCCCCAGCGCCCCCCGCAACCCAAGGGCCCACACCCTCAGCACCCCCGCTGCCCGCCCACGCCCCCAGCGCCCGGCTGCCTCCTAGCAGCGCGACGGGTGCCCCTGCTGTAGCGGGAAACATGTGACCACAAGCCGGCTGCCCTGGCTAGCCCCGCCTGCACCTGCCGCCGCCGCCAGTTCCCGCCCCCGCGCCCCGCAGCTAAGCCCGACCTCAACGGCGCACTCGCGCCGGGCGGTGCCCCACGGAGGCGGAGGTCCGCGCCAGCCGCCTCCCAGCCACCCCCGCGGCGAGGGCGCGGACACGTGACCCGAGCGCGGCCAATCGCGGACCCTGCCGCCGCCGGAAGGCAATGGCGCTGGCGCTTCTGCGCGTGCTCGGCCCGAGGCCGCGCCGGCGCCGCCGACTGGCTGCGTCCGGGTCACGGGCCCGCCCCCTCGCCGCGCCCCGCCCCCCGAGGAATGCGGGCGGAGGTTCCCGGGCGTTCGCGGCCTAGGCTGTTGGCGCGGGCTCCCGCCTGGCGCTCTTCTCTCGCGGGCGGAGGTCACGACCGAGAGTCCGACGCGAACCGCGGTCAGCACGACCTGGGCGAGGTCCGGGTGTCCGTCTCCGGAGCGTCGGTCTGACTGAGAGCAAGTACTGGGGTCACTGGGTTCGCGGCATCCCCGCCGTCCTCGCTCACCCCGCCCTCCTAGTCGGGGAGGCGCCCCGGGGCCGGGAGGGGCGCTCAGCCGACGGAAACTGAGCCCGCGCTGCCGCGGGGGTGCTCCGGGTCCCGCCCCGCTCCTGCCCGTGCGGCCCCTGCGCTGCCCTGGGGGTGCTCCGAGCCCCCCCCGCTCCTCCCCGTGCGGCCCCTGCGCTGCCCTGGGGGTGCTCCGGGTCCCCCCCCCCGCTCCTCCCCGTGCGGCCCCTGCGCTGCCCTGGGGGTGCTCCGAGCCCCCCCCCCCGCTCCTCCCCCTGCGGCCCCGCGCCGCGACACCACCCCCTGGGGCGCACCCAGGGCCCCGCAGGGTGGGGGTGGGGTCCGCGAAGAGCTACCCACCTGCTGCAGCCGCTTCCTTCCTGGTGGGACGTACACTTCCCGGGGCGGGTGGGAGGAGGAGGAGGCTGGGAGCGCCCTTCCTTCCTCTTCACCACGCCCGCCCGCTCCTCCAAACCAACCAGCACTTACGAACGGCCTCGTAAACAAGTGACCGATTCCAGGGCCGGGACGGAGAATACAAGACGAGCCTGGCGCATCCCGTATCCCGAGAGAGCAAGAGGGTGCCCGCAAAATGAGGCTGGGGCGTAGGAGGACTCGGGGGCCAAGCTGAACGGCGAAAGCTGGAACCATACGAGCAGCCAAGTGAACAATCCTCTTGAATCGTAACTTACAGGGTAACCTGACTACCCAGGAGTCCATAGAGGCGAAGAGTAAACAAGTGAGGGTGGAAGAACAGCCCTTTCCTACGGAAATACCACAACTTATAGATGCAGGAATAGGGAACTGGGAAAACAACTTGAGGCAAATGACGGCGTAGCAATTGGGGGCCGTATCTAATGGATGCTAAGATTAGTGGGCAGAAGCTTTGAGGCTTCAGATCTTTCCCCTAAGATACTTATTAACAGGGACAAATAGTAGCTTCAGAATGGAAAAACTTGACCAACACACCTCAAGCAGGTAATCAAGGTGTAAGATACAACAACAGCATTAACCCCTGATGTAGTAACGCAAGGAGAAAGACACAAAAGCGCTCCTGTGGTTTTCTTGCCAAGAATGCATACCCTCCATCAAATCATGGGAAAGCTTCCGAGAAATCCAGGCAAGGACGTGGTACTCTTGGTACAACATAACGGTACTCTTCAAAAGGGCCGAGCTCCTGAAAGATAAGGAAATTCTGAGGAACTGCCCCAGATTGGCTGTGTCTAAGGAGAATGACTACTAAATGCAACATGGGGTTCCCGAGTGGCTTGGACTAGGTAAAGTACTGCTGTGGAAAAACATGAAATCTGAATAAAGTCTGCAGTTCAGTTGGCAATATTTGCTATAGACTGAATATTTGTGTTTTCCCAAAACTTCATATATTGAAACCTAATCCCCAGTGTGATGGTATTTCAAGGTGAGACCTCTGGGAAGTGCTTAGATCATGAGAAGGGAGCCCCCGTGAATGGGTTCAGTACCCTTGAAAAGGAGCTGAGAGAAGACAGCTGCCTATGAACCAAGATGTGGACTTTGACCAGGCATCAAACCTGCTTATAACTCGGTTTTGGACTTCCAGCCTCCAGAACTGTGAGAAATAAATTGTTTTTTAAGCACCCAGCCTCTGTTAATTTGTTATAGCGGCCCGAACAGACTAAAGACAGTATTGCACCAGAATTAATCACCTGACTTTGATATTTGTACAATAGATAATGTAAGATGTCAACCTTAGGAGAAACTGGGGAAAGAGCATTTGGGAACTCTCTGTGCTTCTTTTTTGTTTTGTTTTTGTGAAATACAGGTGGGCTATGGTGAATTCATCCCTCTCCTGGACCAGGGGCGCAAGGTTGCCCTTGTGTCCCAGAAAGGGGCAAGCTGATGAGAAGCTCAGGCAGGTGCCCTTTCGTGAACTCCCCGCTGCCCACCCTGCCTCTCCTAGCTTCTCAGGTACAAATGTCCTGAGCAGGAGCAAGCTTGGCAAATTGGAGAGCAGCAAGGAGGCCAGATGAGCGGGAGGAAGATGGCAGGAGGCGATCTTGGACAGACAGCAAGCATCAGATGGTTGGGGCCCCATCAGGTGGGGTTAGAGAAGGTGTTCTCACCTACCCCTTCATATCTTCCATCTCCATTTAGTACAGTTTTATCCTGTTGGGTTTTTCTCAGTTACCTGTGTAACATTATGTAACATTTAGCACTTAAATCTCTGTATCTTGTCCAGCAGCGTGGGATAGTATCTGTCCTTTCCTACCACAGAAGATAGGGATCCCATCCTTAACTCTGCCTCCTCTGCTTCCACCCACTTCCCAACTCACAACATCTAGACTTTTGCTTATACAAAAGTCAAGGTTGCTGCCTATCATTAGAACAGATTGAAAAGACTTAATTTTTTCATGCTTTGTTCATAGATTGATTCCCAAGGCTAGAAATCCATCAGTGGTTTTTCTGTTTATGGCTGCATTTTCCTCTCTATGCTCAATGGCCTTAAAATGATTCTATTCCATGAGTTGCCCAAGATAATGCCACGGTTTAGTTTGCTTCGTATTTGGACCACAATTTATGTTTACAGCTTTTCATTTTATTTATTGAGTTTCTAACTGCTGTTATTTTTTTTCTCATTGACACAAAGTGTGCCTTCACCATATCCCTCACATTGACCCAGCCTCTTGTGCTAAATCTTGCCCCAAATGCCCACCTTTTCCCCTGGAGTTGCATGTCTGAGAGCCCTCCAGCCTCTGCCGTTCAGGCCTGCTGCCCAGCCATCGCTGTGGACATCGCCTCACAGGCCTCCAGACGACTGCTACACTGGTCCCACGCTTTCCCTGTTCTTGGTGTCCTTTGTTCTCTGAAGTACATTACAAGCATGTCCTCAGAAAGGGATGTCTGCATACCAGAAAGGCCTTTAATTTGCCCTCGTAGCCAAACAGACTTCTAGATCCCAAGTTTGCCCCCAGAATTGTGACCGCACAGCTCCGTTAGTGTCTTGCTATTGACAGTTGGGTGATCCTTCTTTTGTAGGAGTCATATGAGTTTTATTTCTGGATGCTTTTAAGATCTTTCTTTTTCCTAATATTTTGAAATTTCTCAAGAACACATCTAAATAGGATCTTCGTTCACTTTGCAAGAGGGGCCCTTTCTCTTAGGTTCCTCCATTCTCTGGTTCTAGAACGTCTGTGTGCATGATGTTGAACTGATCCCCCCCCCCCCCCATCATTTCTCACCTAGTCCTCCTTTTTGGGTCGTTTTTTCTATGTTCTGAATAGATACTTGGCTTTATTTTCTAACCTTTCCATTGACCTTTTTATTTCTACCACTTATTTTTAGAAGTCTTTTTTGGGGTACCTGGGTGGCTCAATGGGTTAAGCGTCTGCCTTCAGCTCAGGTAATGATCTCAGGGTCCTGGGATCGAGCCCAGCGTGGGGCTCCCTGCTCAGCGGGGAGCCTGCTTCTCCCTCTTCTGCCCCTCTGTCTACTTCTGTTCTCTCTCAAATAGATAAAATCTTTAAAAGAAAAAGTCTCTTTTTCTTTAAGTGAATTTTATTGATATTTGATTTACATACAATGAAATGGTCTCATTTTAAATGTATATTTTGATGAGTTTTTGTGCAGTTTTGTAGTTATCACCGCAATCAAAATACAGTTGTCTTGGTCCCCTTCCCAGTCACACCCCAACCCATACCCAGGCTTTGGGCAACCACTGATCTGATTTGCAGATTGGAGTTGTGTTGTCTAGACCTTTGTGGTCGGCACAATGTTTTTGAGATCCACGTTCTTGCATCTAACAGCACTTCGCTGCATTTTTATTGCTGAGTAGCATTCCACTGTATGCATATAACACAATAATTAAACTGTTTATCAGTTGACTGATGTTTGTGCTTTGCCAGTTCACTTGAATGATGCTTCTGTAAACATAAGTGCACAAGTCTTTGTGTGGACATGTTTTCATTTTGCTTGGGCAAATACCTAGGAGTGGCCCAGCTAGACTGCGTGGTAAGTATATATTTAACTACATACTAAATGGTTGATGTGTTTTCCAAAGGAGTTGTATCATCTGACATTCCCACGAGAAATGTAGGTGTTCCATTTGCTCTGAACCTTTACCATCACTTGGTGTGGTCAGAACGTTCTCCGTTATTCCAGGTAACTCTGTGTCCTTGATAGGCTTCCCTCCTCAATAAGAGAGTTGACAGGAGCTTCATGTCCAAGGGTTTACCAGGCATTGGGCTCTTTTTGTGAGGTACAGAAAGGAAGGAGCCATTGGACACCTTACCAGATGCCAGACGGAGGAACTGAGGAAGGAATTACTTGGGAAGATGAGAGCTGCTCAAAAAAGCTCCCAAGCACTTTGGGAGAAGAGATACGTGGCTTTCTGAGCGGTTGCTGTGTGGCAGGCGTGGGGAAGCAGCCCAGAGCTTCGGTTAATCCCCGTGATGCCAGCCCCACCCCCAGACCTGGTCTGAGCCCCTGAGACCACAGGAGACAAGCCCACCTCTGCCCAGACGCAGCCCCCAGTACCTACGCTGAGATGCAGTTCCTCCACCCACATCTCTGCCTGCTCTTCCCCTACCCCAATAATGTCGTCCCTCCTCTCCTGCTGCCTGTGGCCTCCAACTCCGCTAGTCTCTGCCAGTCATCTCAATGAGGCCGCAGGTGAGAGGGAGGGAACTGCCTGTGCTCCATCTTCATCTTGCACTGAGGTCTGGATTTCCGCGGCCTGGCAGGACATCCACACGCATGGCTCGGTAGTGAAGGCCGATTATGAAACAGCATATATAGCATCCACTTTTAGAAAAATATGAATTATGTACAGAGAAAAGTGACAGAATAGGCCTTAAAATGTTTGCAAAAGTTACCTCTGGGTGATGGGATTAAAGTAGTCTATACATCTTTTTAATTTTTAAACTGTCACATGCTTTCTGAAAACTTAGGTTATATGGACAGAGGTTGCATGGTGGCTGAAGCCCCAGGCTGTGGGGTCACTTGGATCTGGATTTTCAAGTGTTAGATGTGCCCCTTACTAGCCGCAAGCTCTCAGACTCAGTGCCCTGATTTGCCATGGAGCTGTTCCGAATATTCGGTGAGGCTGTGCTGCCGGGCCCACAAGGGGTAGATTTGATCAGTGTTGGCCATTATCATACGAATATTAGTTTTAAGATAAAAAACAAACAGTAAACAATTTACATCGTCCAGCTCCGAGCTGAGAGCTTTCCTGGGCACTTTGCAGTGTGAATTAACTGCACAAGGGCTAGCAGCCAGATACCTGAACCAACTGGCTTCTGGGGGTAAAGCAGTTGATTGTAGGGGCGTCTGGGCGGTGCAGTCAGTTGAGCGTCCCAACTCTTGGCTCAGCTCAGGTCATGATCTCAGGGGTGCAGGATTGAGCCCCACTTCGAGCTCCCCACCCAGCAGGGCATCTGCTTGGGATTTTCTCTCTCCCTCTCACTCTGCCCCTTCCCACCCCTCACATGCCCATACCCTCTCTTTCTAAACAAATCTTTTTTTTTTTTTTAAGATTTTATTTATTTGAGAGAGAATGAGATAGAGAGAGCATGAGAGGGAAGAGGGCAGAGGGAGAAGCAGACCCCCTGCTGAGCAGGGAGCCCGATGTGGGACTTGATCCCGGGACTCCAGGATCATGACCTGAGCCGAAGGCAGTCGCTCAACCAACTGAGCCACCCAGGTGCCCTAAACAAATCTTTTTCAAAAAAGGCAGTTAATCATAGGCATCACTTGGATTCTGGGGAATATCTGCTAAAGATGATAATTTTGGTTTGGGTAGAGTTGGCATTGGACGTTTGACTGTGACATTGCTTGGCTACCTGGACCAGCTGTTTATTGGGGCCATTCCAGAATGATCATCAACTCTTCATGCCGGGATACTCAGCCACCTTTCCTAAGGCAGCTCATATAACCACCAAGGGACTTGATGTTCACGAGTAAGAACGTGACAGTCGTGTTAACCACTGGAGGCCACGCCTGACTCTCAGCAGCCTGTCCTGCCAGGCCAAAGTCCCTCAGACTTGGGTGAAATGCAGGTTTTCTCTATATATCACGTTGTTTGTGCGTGCCATGAAAGGCTGATGAACTACTGAATGCTGACATAAACTGTCTGAAATAATTCTTGGCAGGCTTCTCTGCAAGGAGAGAGCAGCTGTGCTGGGAGCCCCTCAGCACCATCAGGACTGGACTGAGACAAGCCTGGTGCTTACTGGGGCAAAGCTGACCTCAAACGTTTTCTCAGGTTTTTAAAAAAATATTTTCTGGCCTATTTTTTCAAAGGGGTGGGTGTCCGTGAATCTAATAGATCAAGAGTCCATTTGTTGTGCAGAATCCATCCGCCTGATATGGGTGAGGCCCTGTGCCAGGCCCAGGGGAGCTGGGGATGGTGGCACAGGACCGCCTTGCCTCCCAGAACCCAGAGTCTGCTACACCATGTCCAGCAGAAGTATAATGCAAGATGGATGGCATCTAAATTTTTCTAATAGCTGCAATAGAAAAAAAGATGTGGGTGAAATTCGATTGGATAATATATTTTATTGCACCCAGACACAGTATATTAAAAAAGATTTCACTAATCAACATCAAACAGGATGAGATTTTTTTTTTTTTTAAGATTTTATTTATTTATTTGAGAGAGAGAGAGAATGAGAGAGAGCACGAGAGGGAAGAGGGCAGAGGGAGAAGCAGACCCCCTGCTGAGCAGGGAGCCCGATGCGGGACTCGATCCCGGGACTCCAGGATCATGACCTGAGCCAAAGGCAGTCGCTTAACCAACTGAGCCACCCAGGCGCCCCAGGATGAGATATTTTACATTCTTTTCTTCATACTGAGTCTTCCAAATCTGATGTGTGTACACACACAGCATGTCTCTCTGACGACCAGTAGGATTTTCAACCATCCTGGTTTACGCAGAACCACCCGGGTTCTGGCTCTGAAAGGCCTGCATCCCAGGAAAGACTCCGGGGGATGCATAAAGTGCTGTTTTTCCTGAAAGGGTGTGGAAGGCTGGGGGAAAGTAGAAAACTCTTGTGGCAGCCCCCAAATAGGAGCTAGAGCACAAGGATTCCGTGTCCATTGGAAGCGGCATAAACGCCCTCCGCGGTTACTGCCCCTGCTTTTCCCCAACTGTTGATGGTGGCAGCCACGATTTGTAGTTTACATAACGACCATCCGCCTTGCATCGCTCCAAGAGATCCGAATTGCTAATGCAGTGCGAGCGCCTGCCTTTAACATTGGCTGGGGATTCACTGTTGTGCTTTGTGTTGAGATAGTGCTGCTGTAAGTTTTCACATGGCAGATGCCGTGGCCATGTTGTCTAAGGGTTCAGATCGTGAAAATGAGAACAAGGACAGTGTGAATGCCGGTGTGACCCAGACGGCGCTGACAAAGGAGGCTCACAAGTGCGACTTTGATGGCGGGTGAAGCACACATACAACTGGACTAGGGAGCTAAAAACCAAAACAGAGTCCTATGCAATATGCAGAAAAGACGGGATGGGGATGATGGAGGAGCGGATGAAGGCACATACAGAGACTGAACTCAAGGCCCGGACATGACAGGAAGTTCTTCAAAGCCAGTCACAACTTTTTTGTCTCCCCCAAAGCCACCAATATTCAGTCCCCAGCACTGGCCACGGAATGAGCTCGGGCACACCCACCCCCCTACTGAACTCACATTGTCCACTCACTGCTCCGTGCGGCTAAGCGAAGCGACCCTTCCTCACTCACAGATTAGAATTAAAATTTTGAGAAGGGATGTGTATAAATGGGAGAAATTGTGATGAGCTGTTTTATCTACCCAACGATGCAGAACGGATCCTGTCACATCCTATGAACCATGATATTGTTAACAGTCTGTTAAGTGATGCACCGAATCCCGGCAGCGAAATGGTGTTTCCCCAGCTCCTCGTTACTTTGATTTGAAACAAAGAGTTACAAATTGTCTCCTTGATTTCAATGAAGATTTTGATGAAATTGCAGAAAACATGAATGAAAAGATTGTTGATACCTCGTCCAGATACAAGCTAGACTCTGCTCATCCATCTGTGTATTTGGTGACAGGGCAAGTGTAAATTCCGGCAAACTCCATTTAGCTGATCATCTTATTACCAAAGAAAATGAAAAGCTCTTACCTGCTCAGTGTCCTCCACACCTCGTATACAACACTGCTGTTAAGATGAGGTCTGCTTACCTGTTTTATTGGGGTTTCCAAAAGGAAAGTTTTGGTTACCTTTTAGTTTCCTCAAATATGCGGAAACATGATTTTTGACTTTATAGAAATGGAAGGAGAAAGCCTTCCTACAAGGTGTCCGTCATTGTTGCCGTAGGAAAGATGTTAAAATGTTTGCCTGCCATAAAATCTAATCTTATTCTTCAAAGTGTGAGACACGAGGAATGTCCTTCTCTAATTTGGAAATACATAAGGATGAGAACAAAGAAAGGGGTTACAGGAAAATGGAAATTTATATGCTCTTTTTCCAGAACTGCCACCAGAGTGTCTGATGCCCTGTGTAGACTGTGGGTGAGAGCTCACGTGGGCAAAGCACAAACTCACTTCACGACAGCAGGACTGCTTCAGAACTCAAACATGTCACCAGAAAAAGGTAACTAAATTTGACAGGACTTTCTCATTCCTTCAGTAAAACTGTAACTTACTTGAAATCCAACTTTGATTTCGAGTTTTGATGACCTCTGTGCTTTAAGACCATTTGCCTGAGAAAGAGAGTTTAACTTCTGGTGACTTCCAGTATGCTTTGGAGTTTGTTTGTTTTTAAGATTTTATTTACTGGGGCGCCTGGGTGGCTCAGTCAGTTAAGCATCTGCCTTCCACTCAGGTCTTGATCCCAGGGTCGTGGGTTCAAGCCCCACGTTGGACTCCCTGCTCAGCAGGGGAGTCTGCTTCTCCCTCTCCCCCTGCTCCTCCTCCCCCCACACTCGTGCTCTCTCTCTCGCTCGCTCACTCTCTCAAATAAATAAAATGTTTAAAAAAAATAAAATGGACATTTTAGACGTGGGGAACCAAAATGATAAATTTACATATGCAAAGAGCCTGATTAATAAGTGGCTGGTCTACCAGAGTGAGCCTGTGCATACAGACGGGTGGATGTTCTTTGAGCGCTGAAAACAAATTCCCACAAGTGCTCATAAGGTGTCATCACATTGGACTGACACCAGGAATCCGAGTTTCAGTGGCTTGATAGGAACAGTGCTGTAAGTCAGCATGAGCTGTACGCTTGACCACATCCCGAGTTTCCCACTGCCTAAAAGAAGAGAGGGATGTTCTAAGTTCAGAGACGCAATGTTGATAAAGGAAACAGGAAGAGTGAGACTGCTCAGAGTGTCATGGGACAGAAGGAAGCGGGTCATGACCCCCTTAATTGGTCTTACCGTATTTTTGTTCTCCTTTTAAAGAGTCTTGCGTTATAAAGGATCAAAGTATGGATAGACACAACAGCTTGGATGAATCTCCAGGGAACTATGAGGAGTTTAAAAAGCCAACTTCAGGGGCGCCTGGGTGGCTCAGTCGGTTGAGCGTCCGCCTTCAGCTCAGATCATGATCTCAGGGTCCTGGGATCGAGCCCCACATCGGGCTCCCTGCTCAGCAGGGAGTCTGCTTCTCCCTCTCCCTCTCCCCCTGCTTGTGTTCCCTCTCTCGCTGTGTCTCTCTCTGTCAAATAAATAAAATCTTAAAAAAAAAAATTAAAAAAAAAAAAAGCCAACCTCAAAAGCTTACGTCCTGTGTGATTCCATTTATGTAACATTTCTTTTAAGTAACCTACGCCCAAGGTGGGGCTTGAACAGCTCATGACCTCGAGATCAAGAGTCAGAATGCTCCACCCATTGAGCCAGGCAGGTACCCCAATTTATACAACATTTTTGAAATGACAAAATTGTATAAAAGCAGGGCAGATTTGTGGTTTCCAGAGGTTAAGGACAGGGGGGAAATGGGACCAGGGGCTGCAGGGGGTGGAGGTGGTTATAAAAGGTTACAGGGGAGACCCCTGTGGGGCTGAAACTGCCCAAAGAACCTCACAGGTGCAAAAACCCGCAGAACCACACGTCACACACATACCCAGGAGTGGAAGTGAAGTTGGGGAGATCTGAATGTATGGGTGGATTACATCCACGTCAGTCTCCTGGCTGTGACGGTATATGTAGTTTTGCAAAATGTTACCATTTGAGTGGAAATGGTGTATTATTTCGTACAACTGTATGTGAGTCTACAATTACCTCAAAAATTTCAGTTAAACAGAAAGTTGTACATGTGTGTGTCTTCAGAATACATAATAGCATACTCTCCAAAATTTAAATATCCAATAAAAGATTTTTTAAGTGTAAAACAATGTGTTGTAGTGGAAGACAGAAAGAAACATTATACAATTTTTTCATGATTTTTTCTATTCATTACTACTAATTGCACTGTTAACTAGTCCTGTGGTTAACTAGTCCTGTTTCGTTTAAATATAACAGAAAAGTAAGTAATACAAAATAATGCATGGTTTCAAAGAAACACCTATTTTCATTTTTTATGTGAAGAGATAGCACACGTGGGTAATTCTTTTCTATGATAGCACTGTGTTTTGGGGTGAGGTCTGGAATATCTTTGTCCCGGGCTGGCATTCTAAAACCTCGGTCCCTTAAGCTCATCCAGGTGCTTGGGTGCACCTGAGGCTATAGCCCAGAGGGCACTGGTGGGGAGGACGTGGGGGTTGTCTCTGCAAGAAGGGGACGCACTACACTTCTGTCGAAGCTGAAGTGGCCGTCACCGCTGGGGAGATAATTTGGGAGACAGGAAAGGTGCTCATCAAAGGCAGGCACTTCACTGAACTTCTGGGCCAGGCTCAGGGGGCAGGGGCTGCAGGACTGGAAGCAACCCACTTGAAGACACAGTCCAGAAAGACAGGACCCTGGGGTTTCCTGAGGACGTCTTCCACCAAGACCTGCAAAAGTCCCCAGACCCATCATCCTCAAATTAAAGTGATCTATGGCCCCTCTCAAATGGAAAATCATCTTCACAGACCCCCACCTCCATCCCAGGGTGTTTAAGCTATTTTAATTGTAAACTTTCTTTTTTTTTTTTTTTTTAATATTTTATTTATTTGACAGAGAGACACACAGCGAGAGAGTTCGGAACACAAGCAGGGGGAGTGGGAGAGGGAGAAGCAGGCCTCCTGCCGAGCAGGGAGCCCGATGCGGGGCTCGATCCCAGGACCCTGGGACCATGACCTGGGCCGAAGGCAGACGCTTAACGACTGAGCCACCCAGGCGCCCCATGTAAACTTTCTTAAATACGTACAAATGTAAAACTAAACATAAAGTCCCTGTGTTCTTGGCACTTACGCAGCTATGAATCCAGCCGTGTCTACAAACTAAATCTTACCAGAAATGGTGCCCTAATTGGGCCCCAGTGGGCAATACTGCCGTGCCTGAGCCCACCCCTGTGTCGTACCCTGAGTGAGGTTGGAGCAGTCTGGCTCTCCCCACTCCTCCACTGCTTGAATCCCTGAGTGGCCCCAGTGCAGTGGTTATGGGTCCATTAGGGTGCAGATGAATCACTTTCGTTGCTTTCTCTTCTGTCATCTTTGGCTCCCCGCAATTACCCGAAGGCCCTTTCATGCCATTGCGTACTTCCTGAAACACCACACCTGCTCACACGGAGCCACTCACCGGGTGCCCTCAGTACCCTTCAAGAAGCTCCTTGAAGTTAAATATAAAACTATTCTAAAAATCTCAGAATAAACAAACTAACATTTCCCTAAGGAAGCTAGAAAAAGAAAAACAAGACCCAAGACCAGCAGAAGGAAGAGCATAATAAAGAATAGAGCAGAAATAAATGATAGAGAAACGAAAAAAAGCAAAAGAACAGATCAATGAAACCAGAAGGTGGTTCTTTGAAAAGAATAACAAAATTGATAAACCTCTAGCCAGACTCATAAAAAAGAGAGAGGACTCAAGCAATACCACAAATGTAAGAGGAGAAATAACACCACCACAGAAATACAAACAATCATAAAAGAATATTATGAAAAATTATATGCCAACAAACTGGACAACCTGAAAGAAATGAATAAATTCCTAAAAACATACAAACTACCAAAACTGGAACAGGAAGAGATAGAGAATTTGAACAGACTGATAACCAGCAAAGAAATTGAATCAGTAATTAAAAATCTCCCAACAAACAAAAAGCCCAGGGCCAGACACCTTCCCAGGAGTATTCTACCAGACATTTATAGAAGAGTTAATACCTATTCTTCTCAAACTATTCCAAAAAAAAAAAAAAAAGAAAGAAAGAAAAAGAAAAAAGAAATGGAAAGAAAACTGCCAAATTCATTCTATGAGACCGGCATTACTGTGATACCAAAACCAGAAAAAGACACCACTAAAAAGGGCCAATATCCCTGATGAACATGGATGCAAAAAATCTCAACAAAATACTAGCAAACCAAATCCAACAGTACATTAAAAGAATCATTAACCACCTTCAAGCGGGATTTATTCCTGGGCTGCAGGGGTGGTTCAGTATTTGCAAATCAATCAACATGATACATCACATCAACAAGTGAGAGGACAAGAACCATATGATCCTCTCAATAGATGCAGAAAAAGCATCTGACAAAGTACAACATCCACTCATGGTTAAAACCCTCAACAAAGTAGGGTTAGAGGTAACATACTGCAACATAATAAAGGCCATACATGAAAAACCACAGCTAACATCATACTCAATGGGCAAAAACGGAGAGCTTTTCCTCTAAGGTCAGGAGCAAGACAAGGATGTCCACTCTCCCCACTGTTCTTCGACATAGGACCAGAAGTCCTAGCCTCAGAAATGAAAGGCATCCAAATTGTAAGGAAGAAGTGAAACTTTCACGATTCCCAGATGACATGATACTCTATGTAGAAAACCCAAAAGACTCCCCCCAGAAAACTACAACTGATACACCAGTTCAGTAAACTCACAGAATACAAAATCGAGGTACAGAAACCTGTTGCATTTCTGTCCACTGATAATGAAACAGCAGAAAGAGAAATGAAGAAAGCAATCCCATTTACCATCGCACCAAAAATAATAAAATACCCAGGAATAAACCTAACCAAAGACGTGAAAGACCCACACTCTGAAAACTAGAAAGCACAGATGAAAGAAATTGAAGAAGACAAAGAAATGGAAAGATACTCCATGCTCGTGGATTGGGAGAACGAATATTGTTAAAATGTCTATACTACCCGAAGTAAAATACACATTTAATGCAATCCCTATCAAAATACCAAGAGCGTTTTTCACAGAGCTGGAACAAACAATCCTAAACTGTGTATGGAACCACAAAAGACCCCGAATAGCCAAAGCCACTTTGAAAAAGAAAAGCAAAGCTGGAAGCATCTCAATTCTAGAGTTCGAGTTATATTACAAAGCTGTAGTCATCAAAATCTCCAAGGTACTGGCACAAAAATAGACACAGATCAACAGAAAAGCCAGAAGTGAACCCACAACTCTACGGTCAATTCACCTTCGACAAAGCAGGAAAGAATAGCCAATGGGAAAAGGACAGTCTCTTCAACAAATGGTGTTGGGAAAACTGGGCAGCCACATTAAGAAGAATGAAACTGGACCAGTTTATTACACCATACACAAAAATACACTCAACATGGATGAAAGACCTAAATGTGAGACCTGAAACCATAAAAATCCTAGAGGAGAACACAGGCAGTAAACTCTCTGACAATGGCTGCAGCAACATGTTTCTAGATCTGTCTCCTGAGGCAAGGGAAACAAAAGCAAAAATAAACTACTGGGACTACATCAAAATAGAAAGCTGCTGCTGCTTCTTCTTCTTCTTTTTTTTTTTAAAGATTTTATTTATTTGACAGAGAGAGAGAGAGAACAAGCAGGGGCAGCAGCAGGAAGAGGGAGAGGGAGAAACAGGCTCCCTTGCCAAGCAGGGAGGCCAATGTCGGGCTTGATCCCAGGACCCTGGGGTCATGACCTGAGCCGAAGGCAGATGCTTAACCAACTGAGCCACCCAGGCACCCCAAAATAGAAAGCTTCTGCAAGGCCAGGAAATCAATCAACAAAACTAAAAGGCAACCTACTGAATGGGAGAAGATATTTTCAAATCACATCTCTGATAAAGGGTTAGTATCTAAAATATATAAAGAACTGATACAACTCAACACCCGAAAAACAATCCAATAAAAAAAATGGACAGAAGAGATAAGCAGACATTTCTCCAAAGAAGACAACCAGATGGCCAATAGACACATGAAAAGATGCTCAACATCACTCATCATCAGGGAAACGCAAATCAAAACCACAATGAGGTACCACCTCACACCTGTCAGAATGGCTAAATCAACAACACAAGCAACAGTGGGTATCAGCGAGGATGCAGAGAAAAAGGAACCCCCATGCACTGTTGCTGGGAATGCAAACTGGTGCAGCCACTCTGGAAACAGTATGGAGGTTCCTCAGAAAGATAAAAGTAGAGCTACCTTATACTCCAGTAATTGCACTACTGGATAGTTACAAGAAAAAAAAATATGTATATACACAAAAACACTAATTCAAAGGGATATAGGCACGCCATGTTAATAGCATTATCTATAATACCCAAGTTATGGAAGCAGCCCAAGTGTCCACTGATTGATGAATGGACAAAGAAGATGCAGTGTGTGTGTGTGTGTGTGTGTGTGTGTGTATATACACAATGGAATATTACTCAACCA